ATATATATATATATATATATATATACACACACATAGATACACATACACACACACAAAGATACATATAAATATTGTTATCAATCATGACAACAGATTCTAAAACACCAAACTCACAAACAGTTTATAAGCATAATAAAAATTATTTTATTTAGAGAGCATAATACATGTTTCATTAGAACATTGGTCTGTCTCTTCAGGTATTCATTACTCTTATAAATCTTTGCTTGCCAACTTACTATTGCATTAGCATAATGTTCTTTCACACACAAGTTTCTGAAACAAATTTTTTTCATTTTCAAAAAATCCACATTATGAAGAAGTGTGTTCACCCTTTTTAAATACTACTTTTCTAAAATAAGCAAAATAAAACAATATGACAAAACTCATAACATTGACGAAGTGAATGGAAAACTTGAACTTTTTAATTTTATTTTTGAAAAACACCATATTCAGCTACTTGTTTTAACTTATTTCAACCACATTTAATTTCATTAAAGTACACAATATTTTAAATTTTGAGTAGATCATACACTGTCATTCTTTTCAGAAATAAAAAACAATGAAGATTATGAATGAAAAACCAAAAAGTAATCTTGAAACTGATATAATTGTTATGTTACTACTCTAATGAAAAATTATTACAATGTTGTTCTTTTAGTAAGTATATTGAGAACCTTTCCTATACAAACAAAAAACATTAGATTTAATGTTATTAAGAGGTAAGAAAACATACCTTTCTGTTCCTTGTCCACAGGTGTAGGGGGTGGAGTTTTAGTTGGTTTTTTAAGCTCTTCCTCTCCTGTTACATATTTATTTATAGTCTACATTAATGCAAAATACAAGGATAGCTCATCTTATAAAACTAATCCAGCTCCCTTTCAAAAGGCTCACATGTACACCAGTGTTGCATTATGATGTCTATTAAAAAATGACTAAAAGTTATAATTTAAATTATGTTTGGAAGGTTAAGCCTCTCGCATAACACTGATGAAATGTTAACTTTGAGCCATGCAAAGTAGTGACTATTATTAGGAAAATAAGAACACATTTGCTTCAGCTTTTTCAAGCACATGGTCATAGCTTTAGATTTAGAAAAAAGTTTGGTACACTACACTTTATCCAACATGACAAAACAGGCTCAACACAAGTTGGACCTGTTTTGTACTCAATAATTGTGTGTGAATTTTTGAAAGATCAATCAAACAATACTGGAAGAAACATCTAACTCTATATTTTTTATTCCAGTAGGTTTCTAGATTATTTGAAAATCCTTTGAACCTAAAACCAAATAAAGAAATGTCTATGTCTACACTTGAGTTCCCAACATATTTTCTGTATAAAAATTATTACATGATGGAAAGTAAATACAATGGTTCATGAATAAATGGAATATGCTACCACTTGAACTAACGTTAGAGAATCAAATTTCAGAAAAATTAGCCTACATTTGAGATGTCTGCTTAATTTTTGCACTGAGTTGCATGCATGGTAAAATTTAGCAACAGGCTCAGTTCATCTTTAGTAGTTTTAAACCTACAAATTAATATGAGGAAATTCATAAATAAATAGTTAGGTTGAGTTTTAAAAAACCTACAAGTAAAACTACGTTTAGTTTAACAGACACAAACTGGGCTAGCAACACAAAAACATATAACCACATACCAATACATTTAATGCAAGAAAATTAAAACATTTATGGTAAAAGATTAATTCTCAAGGAAACATAGATACAATTCATGTGTATTATACACCAAAAAAAAAATAGCAAGTGGTCAAAAGAAAGACCCATGGACCCTATATAGCCTACCTGAAATCCTTTCATGAGATACAATAATCTGTTCTGTGACAGGAAGCTTAGTACCTGCTACTTCTCGAGTTATTGGAATTTCTGTCACTGTCACTTTTTGTATTTCTCGGCCGTCTACAGCAATAACAAAAAAAACCTTCTATATACAGACTGAAGTCAAGCTACAATTTGTTTCTGACTGTTGAAGTAAAAATATGCCATGAAATATCTAAGAATTTTATACTTCAAAATCGGGAAGCAAAATCCCTTAGCTTTAAAAGTATAAAATATTTTGTAGGTTTTTGAAATAAAAGGATGCTAATTTGGTTCCAACGCTCCAGTTGAATATTTATAAAATATCATGTCCAACAAAGTTAAAAGATAAAAAAAAATTGTATAAAGAAAATAATAAAAAAATACTTCCTAATGGCCCTAACAAATTTTCAAAACACCAGTCATTGTTATTACCAGTTTTTAGTTTTGTGTAGCAATAAACATTTAATATAATGTAGTAAATATAACAAAAAATAAATAAACTGTTAACAATGCAACTGTATTTCTGTTTAGGAAATTGTTATTCCATATTTAGTTTTGTTACTTACTTTAATAAAAGAATTTTGAACAAACAATACAAAAATTATAAGTTGATATAGTTGTAATTATTATCAACATTCTGAGTAGTTCTGAATCTATAAGCTAGATTGGTCTAGCAACTTGAAACTGTTCAATATATAATTGTCTGAACATATCACATTTTGATATTGAATTCATAATCACTCTCTATTCATTCAGTCTGCAGAACACCAGTCATTTATCTTTAAAAATCTTTTAAAATCATCCATTTTATTTTCATAGAATTATATAATTTTCATACGTTTAACATTTCATCATCAATTAACTACATAAATAATAATTAAAGTCAAGGGAAAAAATAACCATATCTGAAAAAGAAGTCAGAAATTATATTTTCCTTTAGAAAATCAATGATGATGAATACCTAAACACGTTATAAGGAAGCATTTCAATTCTAAAACAAAATAGATGTTATACTAAAACTTGGATAAAAACTACCTTTGGAAGTTATCACTGAAGGAGTGCTTTTATCAATTAAAGCATCTTTTTCTAGCAGTTTCCCAAGTTCTTCCAAAACTTCCTTTTTAGGTTTCTTTACAGCAACATCAGGATAAATCATCTGAGATTTTTGTTGAAAGATAACAGGTTCTTCTTTGACAGAATCATCCATTTCTTTTTTACTCTCCCCACCTTCAACGTGTGAAATGACAATTTCTGTTCCTGTTTCTTGAGAATCTACTGGCATAACAACATTTTCCTCCTGAAGTTCCTCCACAGCTGCTTCAGGAGTAACTTTTAATTTCTGCTCTGATAGCATGTCCCCTTCTTGGTTTGCAGCTGTTACATGTATTTCTTGTGACATTTTTGGTATTTCTGTTGTTGTCATTTCTTGAAGTTGTTTTGGTGGTTCTGCTGAAGGCTGATCAACTATGGTTACTTCTTCAAGTTGTTTTTGTGGTTCTTCTGAAGGCTGATTATCTGTGGTTACATCTTCAACTTCAAGAAGTAACTATAGATAATCAGCCTTCAGAAGAACCACCAAAACTACTTCAAGAAGTAACTATAGATAATCAGCCTTCAGAAGAACCACCAAAACAGCTTCAAGATTCAACTTTAGATAATCAATCTTCAGAAGAACCACCAAAACAGCTTCTTTTGGTGGTTCTTCTGAAGGCTGATTATCTATAGTTACTTCTTGAAGTAGTTTTGGTGGTTCTTCTGAAGGCTGATTCACTATTGTTACTTCTTGAAGTTGTTTTAATGGTTCTTCTGAAGGCTGATCAACTATGGTTACTTCTTGAAATAGTTTTGATGGTTCTTCTGAAGGCTGATCAACTATGGTTACTTCTTGAAGTAGTTTTGGTGGTTCTTCTGAAGACTGATCAACTATGGTTACTTCTTGAAGTAGTTTTGGTGGTTCTTCTGAAGGCTCATTCACTATTGTTACTTCTTGAAGTATTATTCCTTCTATACTTTGAGCAACTTTAGATACTTCTGCTTCATTCTTTGATTTTTCTATTACTTCCTCATACTGTTTTGGCTCCTCTGAATGCTGTCTACCTATTATTGTTTCTGTTGTCTGTTCTTCAGAAGGTTGAATATTAGCTCCCACCTCTTCTTCAACCTGTTTCATCGGTTCTTCAGGAACAATGACATTTTCTGCAGAAGTAAGATCATTGATGACTTCATATGGTTAATCCACGTCTAGTGTGATGGTTAGAAGGCAGCCATCAAGCAGGTGAAAGCAAGACATCAAGCTGGGCCATATTTAACAAACACATATAATGCTGTTCAAAATTTAAAGCATAAGGAGGGAAAAATACAGCATGCACATCACACAAAAAACACTTGAGCCTAGGCTATTTGAAGTAAGATAGCACTGTGAATTACTGCAAAGAGGGTACAGAGTAACATCAAGACAGGTTCCAAAAGACTGAGTACTTTTGAAAGTGTTCTCTGCTTCATCACATGGAAAAATAGAATACAAAAGAGACCCATTTTTCAGAACACTCTAGCTTTTGGATAATATTCTGGGTTTGATGTTTATATATCACAAGTTTATAATCACAGAACACTTGGTATCACAAAAAACATAAAAATGCCACATTTCCATGCAATTTGTATATAATTATTTAAACAGTTATTATCAGTTACAGGGGGTTATTGAATAAAGAACTACCTACAGGAACCAAACTTTATGAGTTAAAAATTAATCAAGTGTAATATAATTCTACCAAACTTGTGTATTAAAAAGGAAATTTGGAGTATTTTTCCAAAAGACTAGATTGTAACAGTATTAAAAATTAAAATAGGTCTACTTATTAAAATGGCCTTCATGAAAATGGAATCTTAAATATTATTGCTTCTTTCCTTATATGTACTAGAAACGTTACTGTCTGTATCTTACATGTTTCTGACAATATTTTTGGTATTTAAAATTTTTCAAATTTAGATTCAAGTGTTCAGATATGAGTGCAAAATAAGAGAAATAACTATATGAACTATGAATAATTCTGAGTAATAATGTTTTATCTAATGAACTATATACCATAAAAAATAAACATTTTACCACTTTTTTGCCCTGGAATACTTAACTCTCATGCTTGCCCTATGCTTTATAGCTAAAGCTTTTAATTTTTATAACAAAATGCATGCACAATGAAAATTGCTTTTAGTGGTTATAGATGGTGACAAATTTAATTATCATCACTGTTGCTACTTAGTGCATATTAAAGGCACAGAAATATTAACTTTACTAATTATGCTATCCTTCACATGTGTATGCAAAGGATGTTCACAGAAAGCAGCACAGATGTCGATAGCCAGTTAGAAGAAAGGCAAACACACATAAAAATAAAACAGCAAACTTTTACATCAGGCAAGTTAATAAAAAAAAAGAAGAGTAGTTTATCAATTTTTTTTCTTCTTTTTCATTTTTTAAGCAAAAATGACTTACTACGGAATGGAAACAGTACAAAAAAATTTAAGTAGAAAGCTGGTGTATCCAGAAAAATATCAAATATTATGTTTTTTGATTTTTCTTGTCACTTTTTATTCAAAAGAAGAAAGCCAAGATTCTCCAAAAGCTTAGTCCATGCTTTCCACCCATTTTTTGCATGTTTATTTAGTTTCCTTCTTTTCCTTCACTTTTTATTTCTTGTATCTGTTCACAATGTTCCAAAACATTTTTTGGCCCATTTGTGTTTTACATTTTGCTTATTTTTCCTGGAGACACTAGCTTTTTGGTTTTTCTTGTATTGTTTCCAATGTGTATGGGTTTCATAGATTTTTGATTATTTCAACTACTGAAGAATTTTAACAACTTTTTTTTCTCTCTTTAATTTTCATTATAAATAAGCATGTAAAATAAAAAGAAGGTATAAATCTTATATAAATAATTCTATCAATCTTAAATAATGTGTAGATAGTCATCATAATATCACAAAACTACATGATTATTGAAAAAGTATTTAATGTTTTGTTGCCTATTTGAAAAAATACTTTCTTTACTGAGATTTAGTGAAGATAAATGGAAAACAAAATTGAAATGTAAAACAGACTTACATAATCTTCTGATGTTTTTCACTTTCACTACTAACTCTAATAGCTTTGATTTGAAATATAGTCCCAAATTATGTTACAAAAATCTATAGTTCAGTGTCTTATCATTACATGACAGTATTTAACTTAATTCATTATAGAGTATTATCAAACTAAGCATACCCTTGGGTGGTGTTTTCCTGGTTTCTGGAAGTTGTCTTTCCTGGACTGAACCTGTCTCACTACTTGTTTCTTCAGCTGATTCTGCTTCCTGAGAAGGAGGTATTAAGTTATAAAACCACGAAAACACAGGTTAGCATAAAAAAGAATTGATGAAAAAATATATATATATATTTTTTAATTTAGAAAGTGTTAGTCTTCCCATTAAACACATCTAAAAATTTTAGTCCAACTTCTATAGCATAAGTTATTACACTTAAATTTTGAAGTCTCAGGCATAGGTTATGTAATCTGCAATCTCTCTGTAAATATAAGTCTGTACCTCATTATCAGATTTTATCTCTGTACCTTGATAATGAGCTTATAAATATGATACACTTGTACTCTGCAAGCAGAAAATATATAATAGAATACAGTAGCAAACTACACAAGCATTCAATAATCAGAAACTTAAAACATCAGAGCAGAGTGGTGAAAAGCCTTGAATCCTAATAAAAACTAATAGTGTTTGTGAATTACTACCAATCAGAAGTGGTAAACTTTAAATAACAAGCACAAAGTGGTAGACATGTTTTGAGTGCTCACATATAAACATACTGTCTGATATCCAAAAACTGCATCCACTTATTTCATACTTTGTCATTTATAAAAAAAATAAACAGAATTATTTTAAAATGATGTGGTTCTTGAAAAACAAAATCTAAAAATGATTTCCCTATTTACTTTGTAGACTTATAAACATTTCCCATAATCCTTAACTATTGCCATAAAATGACACATACCTATAAGTGTTTAAAAATTATTTATTCAGTGTGTAAGTCTCAAGCAGCGTGAAAGACAAAAAGAAAGCTTTGAAGAACATGTAGCAGGTAGCATATGCTTAAAAGTTGTTGAACTGGACAATTATCCTAGTGAACCAGTGATTATGATTTTGACATTTTGATTCATTTTAGATATTTTTATCATAAAAAATAATGAAAGTGGAATGAAGTTTTGCTTACTTATCAGTTCACCAAACTGGTTGTACAGTTCAAAACAGGAAGTCTAACGTAGGAAAAAATAAAAATGGACAAACATCTTTGTTTTCGGTACACTTGCATGTGAGATATGATCTGCCTAGCAGTGCCTTATGGATTATAAAAACCTACCTCCACATCTACAAGCCTCTGAGTTTGAGAAGGAAACAAGGAAAACAAAAATTATTCCTGAAAATGAGAAGCACCAAAAAAAATATAAAACAATACAAGTTGTAGTGTTAACATTAAGAGGCCAATTAAAAGTCTTAGTCTTTCATAGCTTTCTATTCACAATGAGGATATAGCTATATACATTATATGAATTTTCAATTTTAATTTAAAAATAACTTTTTTGAATGGTAAATGTGACAAATACTTACAAGAAGTAAAGTTAACATGGTAACCTACAAATGCAGGTATTCAATACTATCTATATGTTGTATCAAAAAAACACTTGTACCATAAGTAAAGAGAGTAGGTGGTGAGAAAATGAAATATCTTAAGTAGCCCAATAATACACATAACTTTATATTACTTTTAAGGGAGTTATTTAAAAATAAGCCAAATGTGTGCAAGGCAGATTAATAAAGTAAATGTTCTTGTACGACTAGCCCTTATGAAACCACAATGACAAAACACTGATTGTAATAAAGTGCTTTTATTATTATCTAGAGAGTAAATGTCGTTTTTTGCCAAAAATGTTCGAGGTCTATATGTATGTTTCCTGAATGAAAGAGATAAAAAATATTTTCGACAGATAAAATTTTCCACATTTTTTGGACAAATCCACAGTCAAAGCTTTCACATTAATAATTTCATGCTGCTTCCCATCAAATAAAACAAAAATTCGTACAAGTATCATAACAGATAATGCTAGTTAAAATTAAAAAGAATCTTACAGTTAGATAGAGAGCAAAAATTAAGAACTTTTCACACTGATTTACAAAGATTGATATTTGAGGACCCAAAAAATTTACTCACAGTCAAACAAAGACATATGAACTGAGCAAACTTTACTACGTAATTGTTTCTTTACAATGCTCTGAATTATTGGCATTTGAAAAATAAAAATACTCTTCTTTTTTTCTTCTAATCACATAGTTTTTAAAATTAAAGAGCCATTAGATATGTTCTTTCATTCTAACAAGGACTTACCAGTAAATTAAAATAATACAAGAAAAGAATTAAGACCAGGTTAAATAAACAAAGTAGAAAACACAAGCTGACCAACATGTTTTGTGCCATTGTGAACAAATACAAAAACTTAAGAATAAGTGCCAATCACTTCACACTGTTTTTCACCTATTTCAGGTTGTTATACATCTTGTAAATGTTATATGATTATACTTTTTTGATGTTACTTTTAGTTAATAGATAGTATTAGATTTCAGGCCAAAAATGTTGTTTTATAAGAGGATACTCAATTAATGAAACAATGCATTCTAAATTAATCAGTAAAAACATAATTAGCTATACCCATTATCAGGTTGATATTTAGTTTTGCTCCAAATAGATAGCTTGTTCTGATCAAGCTAATATTAAGTACTAAGATATAGGATGCCACACCAAAGTATTTTGCACAGTCCATGAGGAAAGCAGGCATCATGGTTTATCTGAGAATAAAAAATGAATTCACACAAAGCACTGTCATTACAGCAGTTGCTTCTTTCTATGGTTCATTCATATTGGACAACAGTATATTCTCCGTACACAGCAACTTTTTTTTTGTTAAGTAAAATAATTTTAGGCTTCATATTAAAAGTACTGTCATATACTATAAGACTATAAGAATTTCCTTTTTTCAAATTTTTAAACAATTACATTAATAACTTTTACACTCCTATGAAGAAGATTTATGTTCTCAAATCTAACAAAAAACAATGCAACACAAAAGCTTTTGTTTGCTTGTTGAAAACACAAAGCTAAGCAATGGGCTATCTGTGCTATGCCTAGTGTAGGTATCAAAACATGATTTTTAGTGTTATAATCCCACTGACTATATATTATCTGATTATCTATATATTACCTTACCTTCATTAAGTCCTGTTCATCATAAGAAACATCCAGAGACATTTCTCGCTGTAGTGAAGCTTCCCTTGATCGGCCCAATTCGACTCTGATGTTATCAAACTCTAGAAACAGCAATATCATTCCAACTCAATTATAGCTTATGTTATTTTCTCAATTACTTTTGAAAAAGACTGAAAATAAAGAAATTACAAAATAGCATTTTAACAGCTTATTTAAAATATTATATGACATAGCAAGAAAACCCTTTATTTTTTGTAGGCCAACTTTAAGACTATCAAACTGTTTGCCCCTGAAGAAGAAAGGTCCACCTTTTCGAAAGTGCTTGGGTTATAGGGTTTTTATCATTTTAAACATTATTCTAAAGATCAAATGAATAAAATACAAAAATATCAAATTACATACATCTAAACTGAAAATTTAACAAGTAGTTCAATCATTTTCTGAATAATAAATAAAAGAGTACCCAAACAATGTTCTCCTCATAAATCTACAATAGATAATGTTATGATGTCAGATACTAATAAGATTCTTCAATGGTCAATATTAATTACAGGCCTAAAGGTTTCTTACTGTTATTTTTTATCCTGTTTTCTAGCTAGTTTTCCATTTATTTTCAAAATGTTAGGATAAATATAATTCGAAGAAATTGAAGAATATAATTAATCTAAGATATGACTTACAGTTCTTTGTTGTATTTAATCAAAGCAACTGTAAGTCAATAAATATTCATGTTCTGCAAAGAATCACTCATATCAAGTTTACATCTTCTATATTTCATACGTTCAAATTGCTTAAAATAGTTTGTTTGAGTAACAGTATCCTAGAACAGCTGAGTAAACTCACCACTCTGATCTTGCTGAACTTTTGCCACTGCTTTTTCCACCTCATCAGATACAATGTGCACATTGAACATACAATTATTTAAAACATCTTCTCGGGCAATTTTTCTCAAAGCATTTTCCAAAACATTTCCTGAGAAAAATAATCTGTGAAATAAGCATGCTTACATTTCTAAGGAAATTAATTTTCAAGATGTCACTGAATTGTATGTCATAAATCTTAGTTTTCTATACATGTTATACACTAAATAAATATTAAGAATGAGAGAAAGAAAATAAATTATTAGTAAATGTTAGAATCTACACATTATTCAACTTTTCTAGCTTCCAGGTTCCTTGAGATGAGAATACAAAAACAAAATGCACGTCTAGATTGATAACAGTTGATAACATGAATTAAATAAATGTGAAAATGGAATAAAAATCTATGTATTGTGTAATAAATGAACATTTAATAACAGCTCAAAATAGAAGAAAAAATATGGAGCTGCTAATAATATTTCTTTATATTAAAAAATTATAAAACAAATTACAGTCAGCTCCAAATATAACATTTAACAAGTTTCATACTTCTTTTTCAATAAATAAGAACAAAATATTTCTTTATTGGAACTATCTCAAGCTTGAATTTTTAGTTTACATTCAAAGTTATTGTACTAGTTATCATCATTACCTTTGGCTTGGATTGTTGGTTTCTGCACCCATAACTGTAACATCATCAAAGACTGACTTTTAACATTATCTGGACATTCATTTTTGATTGTGTTGACATCCCACTCTGGGATGTCCAACTGAAAAGCCAGTCGTTCCCACTCAGATCCAATTTCTCGAGCCACATCAACCAGCCGAAGATCAGCTCGCTGAAGCATCCCACCTTTAGCTGTAATACATAGAAAAAAGTTAGGACTTTAAGTTATTCCTTTCTAACGTGTTATTTATTAACAACTTTTACGATCAAAATCACACTAGCAAAGAAAATTAATATGTTTACTCCTAAAATCCAGTGAAATTAATCCAATGTTTCTTTTATATATTTATATATATAAGAGTAAGGTCATGCAATACACTTTATAGATTATCCATTCATTTACAAGAATCTACTGTTGGCTAATTTTCTATTCAACTTCTCAAGCTTAGCAGTAATAAAGTACAAACGGTAATATTCTGAGTAGTACAAGGTCTAAAGAGACTTCTGTAATAACAGGATTAACAAATGAGCCATACTTATACACACTCTTTATAACATACAGAAGTTGTGTGGTTCCATCTCTCAAGATGTTTTTCTGCAGTACTTAAATTTACTTGACATGTCAAACACCAAAGTCTTACCTAAACCTGATTCCTGAACATAACCATACTTTCTCTCCAGTGTTACAATCTCATCTACATACTCTCCCTCAGCCTATAAATTAAACCAAATATTAATGTATTATTTAGTACAACATATATATATACTGCTAACAATTATTAAGATATGTATTTACATACTTGTAATTAATTAAATGAATTTTTTCAAAACTAATATCAGTGTTTCTTACATACTTGTATTTAAGTCTTAAGTATTTGCTATCAAGTCATATATGAAAAAATAGCATTTGTATCAAAATGAATTTGAAAAAGTCTTAAAACTTTTACAGTTTACTATCTAAATCAGTTGTTTTAAAAAATAGTTAAATCTATACGTGACAGAAAATGAGCTATAAGAATTTATGATTTTACTTCAATGAATATTAGAATTTGTATGATAAAACTGCAAACCTTCTATATTAAAACCTTCAATTATAAAATCATATGTTTAATCACATGTTAATTATCTCTCTTTCATAATGAACAAGACTCAAAACTGAAGCATCACTGACCTTACACACATCAGGCAACACGATGTTCAGATTACAAATTGGAGTTTGTGGTAGATCTCCACGGCTCACTCGGGGTTCTCTCATAAAAGCAATCCTGCCCACGGCCTCCTGGTGAGGATCCTTCACACGAACAATAAATGGCAGCCTGTTCTCCCTGAAGGCTTGGAACATGAGAGTCAATTGCTCACCTGATTTTGTCACAGGAACTAAATTCCCAACAAATTCTAAGTATTGAGATTTGCCTTCCAAGACCTAGTTAAAAATTGATAAGTAATATTTTTATGTATTTTATGTTTTCTTTCCAAATCAAGTACAAATTAAAATGTATTGAGATTTAACTTCTAATACCTAAAACTAATTTACTATATAAAAGGTGTAATGTTTCAAGATGTTATATTGAAACTTAATTCCAAGACTAATAATGTGATATTCGTGTATTAAAAGCACCCTTCCAACAACTAGTTTGTAATACTTCAAAGAATTTTAAATTTACCTTAAGACCTATTACCAACAAAAAAGTACCTTTTATGTGTAAAGAGACTTTCCTCCAAGATCTGAATGAAATCCAATTTTAATTTCTAGTTTCGAAACTAATAAAAAAAACCTATTCAAAAATACAATATTGGTAACTTTTACAGTAGGCAAGTTTTGATTTTAATGAATACAATGTTTTGACCCACAGTATCATGTCATCAGATAAGAGTTATATTAAAAAAGGCATCTGAATTCCAGAATGTAACTCTTACCTAATGATGGCCTGATATTATGGGTCAAAATGTTGTAATCATTAAAATCAAAACTTGCCTATTGTAAACGTTGCTTTATTGTATTTCTGAATGGATTATTCAGTTCAATAGGTTCCTCACTAAGCCTTAATTAAAAATTTGAATTTAAAGTCCCAGTCAATTTGATTTTATCAATCTATACCTGTAATATGCCATACATTTCACTATGTCTTTATCTCTGATCTAAACATTCAATTTTATCTTCATCTCTGGAATAGTTAACATACTCATACAGTCTAATGCAGTTAAAACACAAACTGGAAAGTGAATAGGTAGTATTTGTAAAAGTTTTTAACTTACGGTGTACAAACAATTCAGTCAAGTCCTCATCACTCTAACGTCATATACAAGATGGATACAGATCTTAAGCAACTGCAGCTGTAGCATGCAAGATCTTAAAATCTTAAGAAAAGGTTAAAATCACTGCATGAGAAAAATTAAGTTGTCAGCATTTCAGCCAAATAACCTTTATCACCCATAAAGATAGCTTTGTCAAAACACTGACCACAGGATTCTTTTTCCCTTGCAGTGATTTAAACCATTTCTTTCTACGTATACAAGATATAACTTACCTCTACATCTCTGCTTTTGGCCACCTCTATAAAGTGCTTCTGGCTTTCTAAGGTTTTGTCTTCTTTGTCATCAGTCATACAGAATACCCGAAGCTGAGCTTCCATTGGTTCATGTCGTTTTATGAAAACAACAAACTTGGCCATGAAAGGCACATTAACAGCTTCTCGATATAGTTCTGTAGCATACTTTGTTGCTTCATTAATTTGCCTGCAATCCATGAGCCAAAACCTATACAGCAATAAACACATCAATTATAACCTGCTATGCTTAAGATAGTTTAGTGCAGGTTTAGATGAAAATTGCTGTACGACATTCTTATACCATACTTTATTTGATGGATTATTATTTGTATTCATTAGGTATTCATAAAATAATACTTTGTTTTCATATCATACCATGTTAATGCATTAAAATTTACAAATCCCAATTCTACTTAATTTGAATGTCTGTTTTTTTTAAATGAAATACGTAAACTGAAAAACAAAATTAAATTTTACAAACTTCTCAAAAGTAACAAATTTTAATAATCAGTTGTGTCTGATTTTGTGTGTACTTTTTTATAATGAAGGTACTAGTACACTAAATAATTTTTATTTACTTAAATAACATACTAAAACACAAAATAATAACATGCACAAAGCAAACAATGTCCTCTACCTATTATGATGTATCTGGTTTTCTAACTAAGACAAGAGGGACTTAAATCAATTCCCTTTGCCATTCGAACTGAACACCACAAGATAAACTTTCAAACTGAAGATGAAATTGACAATGCTCTGTATTGAAAACAATATGGTATTATATGTCATTCAAAATATCAAACTTCACTTTTCTATGGGTTATAAATGACATAGTATAAAACATAAGATAACTATTGGCAATTTGTGAAAGAGAGGATGTAACAGGTGGGCATGGCAAGTGGGTCTGATTTTCTAGTTTATGATCCTGTAAACAATTAAGATTGAAGGCTAAACAAATCAGACTTTGTCTTAGCAATATCTATATCATAATGAGTAATTTATATTAAATTCCATATTTCAGAGAAGGGTTACAAATAAATTAGAGAAGGGGGGGGGGGGAAGACCCAGTGAACAGATGTCACAATTCTCATTGAGGATGTTTTTAAATAGTTCCTTATAAAATTAAGAACTTAATTATATGATATTAAAATCTGATTTATTAACTACTTTTTGCTGACAAGTTTATTTCTATACATTGATAATAAAGTAGTTTAATTCAATTTTGAATGTAACTCTGTAAAAGGTTGTGACATGCATACTTTGACTTACCTGTTGTGAGAAGGTTATTGTTTTTGTTTCATATACATCAGACCACTGTTTTCACCTAAGGTATGAAACTTTAATGGTTTTGCTTCATATATAATGAACCATTGTTTTCACCTGAGGTATGAAACTTTAATGGTTTTGCTTCATATATAATGAACCATTGTTTTAATCATAGTTATGTTACTTGAGTGGTTTTGTTTTATATGCATCAAACCACTGTTTTCATCATAGTTATGTTACTTGAGTGGTTTTGTTTTGTATGCATCAAACCACTGTTTTCATCATAGTTATGTTACTTGAGTGGTTTTGTTTTGTATGCATCAAACCACTGTTTTCATCATAGTTATGTTACTTGAGTGGTTTTGTTTTGTATGCATCAAACCACTGTTTTCACCTAAGGTATGTTAATTTGGTGCTTTTGCTTCATATACATCAAACCATGTTATTCATGTAAGAAAAATTATTTTCATGTTTTTAGTTTACATACATAAAATTGTATTACATAATCTTTACAATGCTCAAAACACTTTAGAACAGCCTAGTGTGTAGCTTTTACTATACGTGTAGGGGTTTAAAATATAGATTATACAGTAACACATAGTTAAGACTTCTTTATTTATTTACTATCACTATATCAAAACTAAAACCAAAGCTATTTTCCTTTCAGCTATTAAACCAAAACACATGAAGAAATTACACCAAAATTATTATTATACATCAAGTTTTGATCAAGAAGTCAGCGGAAAAATTTTCCGTTGTTATAATAAAATTATCCAAGGCATTTTTTCAGACATTTCTTTTTTATGCATCACAATAAATTTAGATTTATTATATAAATCGAGTAATGCAGGTTCAAAGGATTTTTACTTTCCTTTTTTTTTCCAAAAAACAATTTAGATCACATAGAGTATGAAACAATATACTAAACCTTGCTGATACTGTTGTAGTAAATGAGACACATTCATTAACAAAGGTAAGTGGAGTTGATCCAGTTACATCTTCCCACTGGGCTTTAGTTGTAGCTCCTGCAAAATAAACCAATAATTCACGTTCTTATCACAAGTTTTCAATCTTTTGTAATTAATTCCAATGTGTTACTGCAATATACAAGAACATATTTCACTTTTCTGAATAATAGTGGTTCTATGTGATATTTTTTTTTTTATACAGAATAGTTGAAAATGTGATATTTTTTCACCTCAGAATATCTTGTAAAAAATTATTAACTCTTTCACTGCCATGGGCACGTATATGTCTTCCTCTAAAGCACTAAAGCAATTTGGAATTTTGTATCTTCATGAGGTAAGGGTATTCCCCTTCAAACTTCCCAAAGTTTATTAGTTCAAAATTTCATATAAGTAATGCAATATTAAAACATGTACCTTTTTGTTATTTTATTATGTGTCTAAAAATAAAGATAGCACTGGGAGAGTTATCTATAAACATGGAAGTGACAGAGTTAATACAGTGTAGCACTAACAAAAAAAGGAATACATACAACATCAAAATGTTATATTCTTTTTTGCACATAAGTGTACAAACACAAAACAGTTCTGTCCACAGGGTTAGCCGCATAGATGTGATAATTAAATAATTCATTTTAACTGATTAAACAATACAATATCATTTTCTTGTTTAGTAACTAAATAAAGTTAGAATTATTTTATAATTCTTGTACAAATACTTCACTAGTTCCAACAATCTCATGCTATGGCTAGCAGACAAAACTTATATTTGTATTTCACTATACTGTTTTTTAAATCTACAAACTTATTTTATTTCTTTACTCTCATCATCTTTAGTCTGACCCATGCTATAAGGTTCATTTAAGAACCAATTCTTTTCATTCATAAAGCAAAGATTTATCTTCATATAGTGAAAAAAAATATAAATATACACAATTCATTATATAATAAATCATAAACAAAAGGCAACATTCCAAATAATTTTCAAACATATGCATCAGCAGTATCTTTTACCAAAGCTAAAGAGTTTATGGATCTATGGCATATAATAAGAAAATCAAGCTCTGATATGAGGAAGAATAATATGTAGCTATATAAAAATGCCTTTGAAATAAATTAAAAAACAGTAGCATTCCAAATCAACCTGAATATCAAGCAGATGACTTGTCCTTCATACAATTCTGGACATATTTTTCAAGAAAAATTTGAAATGTTAGGATTTAAGTATATTTTAAAAATATACACACTGTTGAATAATGAATGTTTTACAGACAAAGGAAAAAGATCCTCAGTTTAAAATACTCTTCAAAAACAAATTTTAAAATCAAAAGTTAAATAATGCATCCATAGTAGAAATACAAAACTAGGAGTTCCAATTCCATACCACATTCTCCTGAAGGGTGCACTCAGTTAACGTGAAAGTACATCCTCACCTGGCTGAACCAGAAAATTCAGTTTAGGCGAAAAAAAAACTTTTGGAGTTGTTATGGGAAGAATGCAACAAGAAATTCTAAGTAGTAATAATAATAATGAGGGATAAAGCAAACAGGAGTAACAAGTAATAAGAACACAACAAACATACATACAAAGTATAACACATGAAAAAAAAAAGTGGAACATTAGGAAAAACAGGCAGTTCAAGAAATACATGTGGAATCTATATTTCTGTTTTTACAACAACGCTGGACAAAAAAGCAATGAGATTAAAAAAGTGCTAGTACTGTGACCAGCAGCATACTTTCAAACAATAACCTTGAATTTTCTCTTAATTTTTATATTCAAGATTGTGTTGCAAAAAACATAAGATTTTAAAAACTGCATCTACAATTTAACACTATATCAATAATGAAATGTGCTTAGTTTTACGAAATTGTTTTAACACATGAAAATATAACAAATATAAGGTTTAACTGATAAAAATGTTTAGTACTGTTTACCTCATTTTTTCTAAGAAAACAGAATGCAGCATTAAAATTTTTACACGTTTTCTATCCTAGTCCCCCAAGTGATGTCATTATGGCAGCAATGAGCTGGTCTTTGCTTACTTTCAAACAATGCAAGTATGGAATTTGAAAAAAAGGATTACTTTATAATTAATTGTAGAAATTTTTACACCATCACACACACAGAACATCTTACACCACAACACTACATAGAGACAATATATATTTCAACCAAGTTCACCTAGGGGGGTGGGGGTGGAATTTTTATATGATTTTCACTTTCTACTCACAGAATAATGTTACTTGAATGAAAAGAATCACTGGTAAAGAAAAACTTAACTCAAGAGTGTGAATATTTTTCTACAGTGCATGTGCTGAGCCTCTTTTGATATATGAGACTTTGCAGGAATATTATCTTAATATTACATGTGTATGTGGTGTTTAGATATAAATTAAACATTTACACATTTCTGTATGGTTTTGTTTCTAACTTATGGTAAATATGTTTTCAAACATCAGAATTACTAATAAACAGAAAATTTCTAGAGAATGACTGAAATTGTAGAAAAGCTTCCTGCATTAGCCTTTCATTAATAGTTTAGTTTTTATTAAGCTGCGTAAACAAGATTTATATGTTATGTAATTAAGAACTCAAGAAAAACACTAAAAGAAGTGTTGATGCCACACAATAAATACATAAAATCAATACATTATATACTTTTATGTACTATAATGCACTGATACTTAAGTAGCAAAAAGATTTTACAAGGGATATTTTCAGAAATGACAAAATGACATAACAAGTAAACATACAGTATATAATTCAATGACGAGGAACCCACTTTGAGACTAATAATGATGACGACAAAACCTTGTTGAAATGTTGTACATTTGCTGTTATGTTAAACTTATATTAAAGTTTTTCTTCATTACCCATTAAAGCCATCTCCAACCATTAAACATCACATAACTTGAAATGATCAGGATGGAGAATTTAGTTGGTAAGAGCTAAGTTGATAAGAGCATCAATCTATGAACACTAATGCGAACTTAAATTCCTGGGTTTAAGTCCTAGTCAGAAAAGGTTTTTTTTTACCTATTTCTTATTATTACAATCTTTAAGAGCTATAATATGACCACAATTATATAGAAAACAAATGTTACTAACAGCATCTTAATGTTGTTATATTGTAGTAAGTAGTTGAAACTTATCAGACAGGAATGAGAATGAAATGAGCCAAAGAACAACAAAAAACATGAAAGTCTTAAACTTTAAAACAAATTAGATGGGGGTGTAAGAGTCTGTTGTATTAGCCTACCAATTTTAGCTTAGATACTTCTCAATTCAGTTTTATTTTAATGAATATTAACTTTGCTCATTTTTTGAAATTCAAAGTCTAAAATGTTTAACAAGTAACAATGAATATATATAATTATCAGACTTTATATGCTAGGTTATTCACATGCAGTATTATTTAAGGGTGTTACATTCACCATACGACTTGTAAAATCATGAAAGAGTTTCAATATATAAAGCTTCTTTATTTTATTTTTTTTTACTATTTCTAAGGATGGAAATTGCTTAAAGAAAAAAAGCCTTGAAATAGTACAAGATGTACAAAACTAAGAGGTCAGCCTAGAACCCTAGAAACTCGATGAGTGTAAGCATACAGAGAAATATAACAAAGCCCATGGTTAAAGGTTGTCAAAAGTGTTGCTAATTCACTCTGCTATTAAGTACACATTATCACTCACTGTCAATTCATTTATGTCTGATTGGTTTGGTTTGCTATGAATTTCGCGCAAAGCTACACGAGGGCTATCTGCACTAGCCATCCCTAATTTTGCAGTGAAAGCCTAGAGGGAAGGCAGCTAGTCACCATCACCCACCACCAACTCTTGGGCTAGTCTTGTACCAAAGAATAGTGGGATTGGTCGTCACATTATAATGCCCCCACAGCTGAAAGAGTGAGCATGTTTAGTGGGATGAGTATTAGAACCTGCAACCCACAGATTGAAGTCGAGCTCCCTAACCACCTGGCCATGCCGGGCCCCTTTTAGGTCTGAATAGGTTATTATTATTATTGCATTCCACAACTGATACTTTACAAGGAACATTCCAATCTCTGTTTAGTTACAAAATAGTTAGGTACAATATACAAAGGACTCTGAGATCAAGTCCTAGTTTGGGGGTTATTTCTAATTAGTTAGAATAAGCTGTCAGAATCATTATTGTGCTACTAATAATCTTTCATAATATCACTAATACAAATTATAAAATGATAAATTTTAATTACAATAGGTCTATAAATTATGTAGTTATCAAAATAAGTGTTTAAAAAAAAGAGGTTTTAAACATATTTACTTCTTTATTCATAAATAAATACACAATTTAGTTAGAAAAGTTCTTCCTACAAATTATTCATATTTTACTTACTGATCTATAGAGAATCTTTTTTTTAAGCTAACCTTACTGTATTAATGAAAAATAACAAAAATACATTTAGATTAAAAACAAAAAGAAATGTAACAATCTATCTAATAATGTAGTTTAACATCAAATCAGGCAATATTTTTTTATATAAAGATTATGTTACAGATAAAGAAACAGTTGTATGATGAGTTTTTTTATTAACTCAGTTCCCAACATCATTTAAAAACAACCCATGTCAGACGAATTAAAAGTTAACTTTTATTAATGATTTACAACAGGTCTTCAGCTCATAACTAGAGAAGTTCTATTATTACTAAATATATATTTAAATCAATTAAAATACTAGGGTATGTCAGACTATGAAAGACAGAAAATAGAAAGGTTTAGCACAAAATGCACATACCTTAGAAGTTAGAATTAAGCTCAATTCTTAAAGCCTTCCCCCAGTAGCTCTGTGGTAATGCTACAGACTTATGACACTAGAAATTGGGTTTTGATACCCATGGTGAACAAAGCACAGATAGCTCATTGTATAGCTTTGCACTTAACAACAACCAAACTAAATCAATTCTTTAAAAATGATGTTAAATTACCATTTCTAATTACTTATTATCAGTTTTTTTATCTGTAGCCCTCCAAACCTCAAGACAAATTCAGCATTTGGTCAATCATTCATACAAAATAGTAACATACATGTGTATAAAATTTACCATATTTTTGAATACAATGCTAAATTATGTTTGAAAGTAGGCTGCTGTTTGGACAGGGCTTAACTGTAGATATGTTTTTAGGTTGTTCTTTTTTTATTTCAATTAATATCATTTTGGAAAAAACATCCTTTTTCTTTTATGTTGAATGAATCAGTCTCTATATTATCAGAATGCAGACATACTAAAATTTTAATTCTGATAAGAAGTTGACAATGTATTCAACTTTATATAATTACATTCTTTTATTTGTAAAATTATCAGATATATTTGTACTGATGTAAACAGATGAAGTTATATTCCATGTTTGCCCTGTCCAGGTGGCTTCACAGTTAGAATAGAATAGAAAGAAAAAGAAACTAAGCCACAGAAAGACAAAGGGGGGAGACAAACCTGACTTGGTACTACCTGTTATACTGCACAGCAACCTCAAAGTTGGAGCATCCCCACTGTACTGGTTTATCATCCCTTTGGAAGCAGCTTGAGGCACTGGGATGGTCAGAGTGATAGGTTTGTGAAACTTGCGACGGCGAGGTTCAACAGTCACAATAGGACTAACTCCCACCCGATTTCCCAACATCTTTGAGACTAACTCTGGTGGTATTGGTTGTGCCTGAAAAATCAGAGAGAAGTTTTTTTTTTTAAATCAAGTTTGGTAACCATTATTGAAAAAATAGTAATAATGATTAATAATAAAAATGTCAATCTGGAGAAATGAAAATGTTTACTTAACTGAAACATTTCTACAAGGTGGGTTCCAAAGCAAGTCATTCTCAAACTAAGCCAAGTACATTTTTTAATAACAAGACAAAAAAAAGAAAAAACTCTACTTTAAAGCAACATCTTTCACAACTAACAGGTACACAATATAAACATTTTAGCTCAACAAGGTAAAGATATTATGCAGCAACTAATTTGTTTTAGTACTAATAAATGTACTTTCAGTTTTTATTGCATATCAGTTAAATCCATTCATATGTTTAAAAAAGTGTTAATTTTTTGTTAGTAAAAATGTTTTAAGTTTTTTATTATATATTTTTAGCCAGGAGATAATTAACACATAAAAACTGGTTGACAGATGAGCAGACAGGCAGACATTTAGAAAAATATTACTTCTGCTTTTCAGGAATTTGTAAATTTTAAATTTAGTTTAACTTTTGCTGGTTTTGTTTTAATTTATGAATAAATAGAAATAAATTGTTAAGCAAAATTTCTCATCTAAAAACAATATTTATTAGGATCTTAAGGTTATTCTTGTGAAAAAGTGAGGAATCACTACTATTATACACATCTGAATGACATGGGTTTGTTACTGGATTACCTGAAGTCCTACTTTGATCTTCTTTGTGAGGGCACCTTCTGGGAATATTGCCTGGACTTGAGGCACAACAGTTGAACTGACCATCCCACCCTCAGGGCCAATAGTATGGACCTCTTGTCTGATACGTGTAATAATAGCAAAATATTGTGGAAAATCCATTGTTACAATGCGTGTAATTCTGTTGGTGTTAAGGTCCTCTAAAGCACTGAACTCTAAATTGGATTTATAAAAAAAAATTAGTTAAGAGTTTATTCTTTGATGCACTATATTTAGTTACTAAAAATACATTGAGATATAAGTAGTCTTAAATCTTCTAGGTATTTTTATTTTTGTGTAATTATCTTTGGTAGACTGAACTGTATTTAGACAAACTTCTTTGAAAACAGCAAATGTTTATATAAGTCAGAAATAAAGTACACCTTCTTTCTCAAAGTTCCCATTTAGTATATCATGAACAGAATAACATGGTGAAGGAAAATGTTCTTTCTATGTTTGCATATATCATATTGTTGCGTCATCGAGTCACATGACTACTGTGACGCAACGTTTCTAGAACTATCATGTACTTTGGCGAATGCTCTAGTGTTTGCTAGATGGGGTAGGCGGGTATATATATAAGAGGGGAAAACGTGACGCGGGAAGGTAATGTAATGTGTGTGTAGATAGTGAGTAATTGAACTGCAGTCAGAAGTATTATTGACGTTCGTTGTTATAGCGTTTGTTTAGCGCAATTGTTGAAGTTGAGTGTATCGGTTAAGTTATATTCGGAAAGAATAAACCAGTTTTATCAAGTAAAGACTTGTGTCGTTAAAATTTCGTCGGAACGAAGTTACGGAAAAATCAATTAACAAACGGAGATAAAAATGGAAACGAGAGGCGGAAAATCAAACTACAGCTTAGCAGATTTGATGGCTCTCCTCCAACAACTGCTGTAATTTCTCCTCTTGTTTTTGTATTGCTAGAGACAACAGCAG